AAGATCAAATTACTCTATGAAGAAGGTGTTCATTATCTTTTCTTTTTCTTGCTTGTTTCTTTCACTTTTTTCCCATCTAGGAAAAAAAAGAAAAGCATGAAACTCAATTCACAGAATCATGTGATCCATATACAAATACAATTTCTCAATGCACAAAAAATGCTTTACTTGTTTGCTTCTTCAACATTGTCGTTAAGAAGAAACTCTTTTGTTGGTTAATTCTACCTTTAGAGCCGCCGGCCCTCGATTTACCCAAATCTAATTATAACCCTTGAGGCTAACTCGTGATCTTCGTCACTAGCCTTTCTGAAGATTAAGAAAATTACAAATACCAATTGAAGTCTTGACCTTTTCCTTCTCATAGGTGTTCATCATTCTCAGACTTGTGGTGACTTGACTCACCTCAATTCTCTCAACACTTGGGTTAATTTAATAAACAAATTTACTTTGCTAATCATTAAAGTGTGGTTCTTGGATTAGTGACATTTAATCAGGAGAGTCTTGGGCTAATTTTGTTTAATCAAGCTCCTGCATCATGCACGTGGAGACCTGGGCTCCGATCACACCACCCACAACAAAAGTTAGTCCAACCCTGGCTCAACTTGGTCAATTTTACTATATACCCCTAGGTCACTTTTTGAAACCTGTGTTTCTCCGATATTTTAAGCCTTAATTAATATTGTAGGCTACTTGTATTTTCATGCCGAACGACATGTTCCCACCCAAACTTTGCCTCAAAGACAAGTTAGTACCCAAAATTTCAAAACAACAATACCCACTTTACGTCCACGTCTGTAGTGAATTCCGTCTATAGTAACTGAAAATACTAAACACTCTTGGGTGCGTTTGGCTCCCTGTTTTTATCCTATTCCCCATCCTATTCTCCAAATATTTTGGCACACTATTCCAGAAATATGTACCCTATTTTTTTAATTACATTTAGACCCCATAAAGTTATTAATTTCACTAAATACCCCAAAATTTATTTTTTAAAAATTAACAAAACCCCCCCCCCCATCAACCCAATTTGTCAGATTCCGGCAACCACCGCCGTGATAGCCGGAATCTGTACAACGCCTAAATTTCGACCATAAATGGCCGGAATTACACCGACTGGCCGTCAGTGACGGCAAGAAATGCCGTCGTTACGGTCAACACGTCCAAATCTTGGTCGTCGTTGACCGAAAACGACGGCCACATCTTTGGCCGTCGCTGCGGCCAAAGATGGCCGTCGTTTTGGCCTTTCCGACGCGTCGACGGCCATAACAGGCCCTTAGATCTGGCCTTTTCCGGCCATCCGTGGTGGATCTGGCCGAAAAAGGCCATAATGATGCGTTTACGGCACGATCCGATCGGTCTGTGCCGTAACGAATTTTCCTACTAGATTCCGACGGTGGCGCCGGAATCTGAACCTGCAGTGGTGGGGTGTTTTTGTCATTTATATAGTAGAGTCTTTAATTAAATTAGTAAACCTATGGGCTTTTTCATAATTTTTCAAATTTACCCGTATACTCCCCTATCCACAATCCAATATTATCCTCAAAATCCTATCCAAATACTACATCAAACGCACCCCTTATATTTTCTTCTTGCTCTCTTTCCTCTTTTCTTTTTTTACCCTTTTTCTGCACCACCGCTTTAAACGCATCTCCTTCTCCATGACAACAAAAGTGCCCCACCAACAACCCCCACCCCGGCAGTAACCACCACAACAACAATCGTCCCGCAACAACCACACATCAACAACCACCCCGACAGCAGCCACCACAACATTAACCACTCCAACAACAGCAAAATGTTCTTACAATATTGAAGATTAGCCAAAGATCCAAGCTCAGGACAAAATCATTGGAGTCCATAATTGCCAGGATCCCTTCAAGAAGCAAATTGAAATTTCACTTTCAAGTTAAAAATTAGTTCTCAATACCAAACTAAACTCAATAATCTTTAAATAAACTAACGAAGGTGGAATATACAACAGCCTTGTGACTTTGTTATCATCATTGCCTGTAACGTGAAGCCAGGTGCATGGATCAACAAATGCTGCATCCCAGCTTTGAAACCCACCGTTTGGTCAACCAAGGTCGTTGTCAAAGCAGAAAGAGCGTCCACTATTTGGCAAACAATTTAACAATCACTTAAGCAAATATCATAGATTCATCGCATTATTAAGAGGCTGAGATCAATTTCAGAGAAAAGGGTGATTTTCAATAATTTTATACAGGGAGCATGACTGAATTGAACTGCTAAGAAAACTTCAAGTGTGTTAATGTTGTGTGGCGCTGTTGGGGCGCTTGTTCATGTAGTGGCTGTTTGTTTGGACGATTATTGTTGTGGTGGTTACTGTCGGGTGGTGTGGTGGGTGGTTGTTTGTGGGGCACTTTTGTTGTTGCAAATGAAAAAGCTGAAATCTCGGGAAGGAGATGTGTTTAAAGCAGTGGCGAAGAAAGAAAGAGGAGAAGAAGAAAATAATAAGGGCGTTTTAGTATTTTCAGTTACATAGATGGAATTCACTAACAGATGTTAGACAGAAATTTGCCCTATTTTCATCCTTCAGGTTTGAAGTATATAACTTGCCCGGTGCATTCATGAGATACAACCACTAAAGCTTATTGATGACCGTTTTTTTTTTTAAGCTTTATTTAGAGAAATTTATATATTATGGAATGTCAACTTTTCCCTTATAGCGTTAAGAAAGTAGGCTAATGACACTAACGTCAATCACTTAATAAGATTGAAGTATTTGTATCCCATATACTAAAACTGCACATTTATGAAAAGTTATGGATGAAAGAAATATCACTTAAATAATTTTTCAGTAATATGTCACTGTTTTTAGCATTACGTGTATTTACAATATCATTTTTTTCATTTACACATCAATACAACATAGATAAATACATTACTTGAAAGCAAAATTTACAATAATTCTTGAAATATGTAGTATTATTCATACTAACCCACCATACCATATTCCGAATTCTACGTTTATTACTATTATTTTTTATTTTTTATAATTGGGCATGTTTTAAACTAGTTTGTGCGTATCTCAGTTTATCCCTAAGACTGTATTAAACACCCTTTAACTCAATGTTCTAAGTAAGCCATGAATGTGTTAAATAACCTTAAGGTGATTTGAATCTAAAAAGTTAATGAGAAACAACTTTTTTGATCACCAAACCAATCTCTTGGGGTTATTATTTTCATATTTTGGTTAATTTTGTTTTAAAACTTTGAAAAACCAAAAAAAAAAAAAAACCATTACCGAATTAATATCTAAAAGTACCCGCAACATTATTCCCGCGTTATTTTTTTCCCTTAAAATACTGGCGGGCTTTTCCAGTTCCCAATTAAATTTAAATCCCACCGACCAACCACTAATCTCACTTAAGTCATCAACTCCCAAAATTATTAAAAAAAAAACAATAATTAATTAAATACTATTTAATGACGTCAAAACTAATCACAAAAATCTCTCGTGGCAGCAAATGAGAGCGACAGACAAGACCGTAACAGTGCTTGACTTCTTGTGGGTCCCCACTTCAGCGTGAGTTTACAATTCAGATCTCGTGGTCCTTGTTCACGAATACTCTGAAATTCCTCTTTGGTAATTTTTCAATAGTTCACCTTCCACCGACGAAAACAGGAACAGCTGGCTAGCCACTCATTTCGTATGGGACCTTCGTGGACTTCGTCATGATTAGTTTTCATGGCCCACATGCTATTTTCAAACACAGATGATACATTGTCATGCGAAATTCCAGGCAAAATGCCCACTATCCACTATCCTTGGCATGTGTGAAGATTACAAAATAATCATAAAATTCTTTGATTTCACCAATTAAAACTTCACAGTTAAAACAGAGTCAACTCCGCAGATGTTACAAAAACTTGCAATCAGAGATATTCAGTCAACTACGATAGAATTGAATAGGATGTATACGTGATCATAGATAATCAGATTAGAGTATCTATAATGCAAGAACAAAATAGACTTTTAAAGTAATTCGACGAGTTAGAACCAAACCAACGTCCATTATTATATTATTACTTATGTTGCCTTATACACATGGTGATTACAAGAAGGAAACACGTAATGACAAGCTAAGACTCTTCCTAAGTGGTTTCTTGTGCTAGTATAAATAATAGATCCCCCAAAATGAAGGTGGTGTCTCCCTTTTATGCACACCACTAACATTGGTTAGGGGTTGATATTACAAGGCGGATTACACGCATAATCTCCCACTATCTGGATCTGAGTCAGCCTCTACCCATATTTAAGTCTAAACACCCATGCTTAACCTTGATGAGTTTTTTGGTGAAGTCATTTGTTATGAGAGCGACACGTGAGACAATTCTAAGTTTCTAGCTGCTAGATCCTGATATGGTATCTAAACAGGTGGCACGAATCTGGCCATCGGAAAATCATGCACAACAGTAAACATACCAAAGATAGTTAAGTTTAAAGTAAATTAATGATTTTCAAAAATTATTAAATACTTTTTAAAATTATTAAAAATCAATTGAATTATCAAATCCCAATATAAAAATACATAAACTAGTTGTGACCTTTAGATATAACGATACTTCTCAAGAAGGCATAAAATTAACCTATTAAAACTCTTAAAAGAAAACTCGTTTATTTCACGCGTCAATATATATTATAATCAACACTTATATTAACTGATTTACTTGGATATTTATATTACATTAGATAAAAATTAATATCAACCACCAATTGCAAACAATAATAAGCCCAAAAAATGCATATAATAACAATTAACCACCGAAAAGTTGTCCCCCATCTCATGTGGATTTATATAACACACAAAAAGTTCTAGTGGTCCTATTAATATCCAATTCGACACGGTTTGTCATTTCGGATTTTCTAAAATTAAAAAATAACACACAAAAATAAATATTAATTGTCACAAACTTTACACGATAGCAAGAAAAATATTTTACAAAATTTTCCCACCAACGCTTATAAATACCCTCACTTCCCCAGCTTGATCACACACCAAAACTCAAATTTCTTTTAATTTTATATTCTTTGTTAAATTTCTTGTATTGAATTACTCTTTGCAATCAAACTTTTACTTCACCATGTCTGAGGAGAAGCACCACCACCACCTCTTCGGCCGCCACAACAAGGACGAGGACAGGCCGGTCGACGAAGGCGCCGTCTACTCCGAGACCACCGCCTACAGCACTGATAATGCTTACGGTGGCGATGGAACCACCGCCTACTCCGACAATGCTTACGGTTCTAGCGGGAACACCGCCTACTCCGAGACTGCTTACGGCGAGGTGCCTCCGCGGTCTGACTATGGTGATCAGCGGAAGGAGGACGTTGATTACAAGAAGGAGGAGAAGCACCACAAGCATCTTGAGCACCTAGGCGAGCTCGGAACTGCTGCAGCCGGTGCTTACGCTTTGGTATAAATAACTTTCACTTCACTTTCTTTCTTTCTTTTTCTTTTTTTTCTTTTTTTTTTCCCCCTAAATTCAGAAATCTCCCACACTTGTTTCTCAAGCTCGGCTTTTGGTATGATATTTTTCACTTCATTATCTTCTTTTTTTCTTTAAGTTTTAATTTGATTGATAATTTGAAACAAATTAGTTTCATCTCTCTGGAAAACTTGTTTTGACAGCATAATATTTATATTTTGAGATAGTAAAAATTGTATGATTTATTTGATGACTGATTTGTTGATGTATATTGAAAATATTTAAGCATGAGAAGCACAAGGAGAAGAAGGACCCAGAGCATGCACACAAGCACAGGATCGAGGAGGAGATTGCTGCGGCGGCTGCTGTTGGAGCCGGAGGATTCGCCTTCCATGAGCACCATGAGAAGAAAGAGACCAAGGAGGAAGAGGAAGAGGCTCATGGCAAGAAGCACCACCATCTCTTTTAAGTGTTGCTTACTTGCTTAGTGAATTAATTATTGTTAATTTTCTGTATTTTGTGTTATGTTTGTTTGTTAATTACGTATGTATGTACGTATCTGTGTACCAGTAAGCAACTGCCCTAAATAATTCTGTGTGTTTGGGTCACTTTGTGAGTGCTCTACTGGGGGTGATTTGAGCATTTGCCCTTTGTTATGTGATGTTTATAATAATGATATTTCAGATGTTTTTATTATATAAATTATATTTTACTTCATTCCCCGTTTCATCATTCCACTAGTAAAATTGAATAATCAAATTACTATATTTAATAACCTTTATATATAAAGGCATGCCCATTTTCATTAATTTACTATATATTTAGCTTACAACAAAATTTTAGTCAACTTTAAAAAAAAAATGATAATTTAACTTTTAAAAATAAATTGATGGTTATTAATATTGTATATAGGCCAGTAATTAATAAAATAAGTTATCTAGGAACCAAACACAATAATAATTTATACTCATTAATCTTTAACGTTATTTATTTCACTGATACTCACATCTTTATCAGAACCAAACACATCCTAAAAGTATATTCACAAATATTCTAATTTCTTAAAGTGCATATTAGGAGTTGATGATCAATTTCTAACCGAATAAAATACAAAATCAAAACTAATACTTAATTATCAACCTATATACGATACACACTTTGAAAAAAAAAAAAAAAAACATTCACATCAAAGAATAATAAATAAAAAAATAAAATATTTAAAAAAAGGTGGAAAGAGCCATATGACTTTTATTGCAATTGAGTGATGGATCACCCAATTCTATTAATGAAATTGCAAGCTGTCAGGGTTAATAAGAGGTGTTAGTAAGAGATGTTTATGAGGCTAGTATTATTGTTAAAACAGAAACAGACATCATGTGATTTCACCAAATTAAAATGAACCCAATTTTAATTTAGTGGCCTAATAAATTAATAAATATCAAAATATATACAAAACACCTCACCAATTAATTAATTAGCACCCATTAATATTTATGGCCAGCATTTGAATGTTAGGTATAGCCCTTTAATTTCCTGCATTAATAATCATTATATCTTATCCACATTAAGCAAAGATAAACCCCACTCAGATTTACACTTCTATGTTCTTGTCGCCTCTTCAATGTAGAGTAGTTGTATGTTTTGATTACCATTTGACCCTAAATTAACCTTTGACTTTTTCTACCTTAAGACGAATCAACTCAGCTTGAACATCAATTTTCACTTGTAAGAGATCATTATGTTTACTAAATTAGCTTTACATAGATAGACTGAATCCATGAATTGTGGATTTCATTACATTATTTCACCAGTAATATTAATACGTAAGAGATCACTATGTATCTTATTTTTCCTGTTGAGGATTTTAATGTTATCGGCTCAAAATCTGGTTGAAGATTGGAGATGAGATTTGAAATTGCAGGTTCTTGTCACTTCCAAACCCAGTTAGTGACCCACTTCACCTAATCAATAATCATTCTTCTTTTTGTTTTTGTTTTTGGATATTCTGGCATCTGCTTGCTTTAGATCCTCTCCTCTTTTGCTTTCCTTTTTTCATTTAGAAATGAGTTAAAAAGTTTTCGAAAACAGTTTTCAGATACAATTATAAAAATTAGTGTAAAATTAGAACATGATTAAATCATTGAAAGTTGTTTTCACAGCTTTCTATAGTTTTTAATATGAAAACCGTTTTTAAAGATTATATCGAACATATAAATATTAAGATATATTATTTTAATTTTTAAAAATTATTTGTGGATTACCATATCTTTTTTTTTTTTTTTTTCTTTGAAGAACTACAAGTAATACAGTAATAGCAAAAATTATTTCATCACAGATGTTTGGAGAAGTTATTTGACTTTGTCGAGATTTCTCTATTCACTTTTTTGTTGGGTATAAAAAGCCCATGATTCATCGGATCCAGGAATGGCCCAAAGCTCCCATGTATTTGGGCTGGCCCAATAAGAAGCATCCATAGCAATCAGTTTTTGAACTTGAACGTAANAAAATCAAATTTGAAACAGAACCAGGAAGAGACAATAGGCCAAACACGATATGAGCAATAAATGCCATTCAAGCAACAGATTGAATATCAACACATTAAAACACATAATTCCAATATGTTTGAACAATAATCCATGCATATACAGTCATAACCACAAAGAATCCAACCATTAATGAAGCCTGATTCTCTGTTTGATTAGCTCTAAGCTTGACTTCTATGAATTACTATTAACACTAAAGTTTCATTGTATACTTGCATTAAGCACAAAAAGAATAGAAGCTTAACATGCATAAAAACGCCAATTCATATTCATACGCAACTTCCCAACCTTTCTCATCAAACAAACAACCAGTTTTACATACGATAATCTTGAAAACCCAGATTCTACTCCACCAGCTTTACCAAAAATTGTCTAAATCATCAAAATATAACAAAAACAGGTTGCATTATTCTTTCCCCATTTTCTAAGCAACCAAACAGCTAATCCGTTTAAAAAAATAAAACCTAAATAAAAATCACCTCAGGCAATGTAACCTCACATCCAAAAACAGAAAAACCCTAATTAAAAAAAAAAATAGACACAAACTCCCTAAAACTCCCATGAAAATAAGTCCTAAAGCTAAAAAAAATCAAAATTCGACCCAAACCCAAATCTCTTACCGTCATCTTCATCCTCTTCATCGTCATCTCGACCCTCGACAGCATCCCCCTCAACGGGTTCTTGGTCTTCTTCTCCTTCGTACTCGACCTCATCTGAACAAAATAAAAAAATAAAAAAAAGAGCCCATTTTAGAGCACTCTCAAGCAAAAAAGGATAAAGATTAGGGCATTTTGAGGGCTAACCTTCTTCGTCAGAAACCACGTGCTTGCCCATCTTTCCACAAAGAGATGGAGATTAGATTCAGCGCAGAACCGAAAGAAATGAAAAATTTGGAATCGGAGAGAAACCCTACAGAGCCAAGTGAAAGATTTTGAGACTGGAGTTAACTAAACCAGCAACATTTTTTTAATTAACGTGGAAAGTCTCTCAGAGAGGAGAGAGAGAGAGAGTCGGTTCACTAATATGGGCAGGGCTGTTCAAAACCGGGTACCCGAACCCCTTTTTCCCTATAAACCGGGTATCATATTCGGGTGCCCCTATAAACCGAACCGTTTGTTAGAGTAACCGGTGATTGGAGTACCCGAAATCTCGGGTCGGTTTCCGGATACCGGGTTTACAGTTAACAAATTTATTTCATTATTTGTTCAAGCCATTGAAAGAAAGGTAAGTGATGGCAAGGAAGCCATTAAAATATACAAACTTCTCATACATATTTACCACATACTTATTTTTCAGTAATCTTTTTTATCTCTCTAGCTACAGAATGTCAGGATTTGAAGAACAAAATCAAACACAAAAAGCTTTTAGATGGACAACTTATTATAATTAAAAGTAAAACCAAAATCACGAAACATAAATCAATCAACAGCACTCAAAATTCAACACTATTAAAGGTTAATTATAGACAAAATTATAAATAAACAAAATCCTCTCCAGATTTAACCAACCAAAACCCAAAATATATATATACATAAAGAAAATAAAAACTGACTCAGATCTTTAAATCATAAAATAAAACTTAAAACAATATAAGAATAGTGATAAATAAAATCAACCTTGAAAATTCGAATATCACATAAAAATTATACGAAGAAACCAACCCAAATTTTTGAGTATCCGAAAAATCAGATTCGATTCGGTTTTTTTTTTTTTCTAACAACCCTAATATGGGTTAACAAATTCAGCCCAAAAGGACCCAAATGAAGTCGAGTTTTCGGGTCAAACATTAATTTTCAAATGGAACAATTTTCAAACCACCCAAGGATTTTCGTTGATCACTTGGATAATCCAAGTCCAAGTTGGATGTGACTTTCCCGTTTTGTAAATTGTTCCCTTAAACTTCCAATATTTTATCAAAAACCCCTTATCACATGAGCTCTTTGCAATAGTGTCAAAGGGTTCAAAAAATAAGGCTTAGTTTGAATTGTTGTGCTTATCCGTTAATCACTTTTGAGCCAACTTTATCCATAATCAACTTTTAATATTATTACATGGTGTTTGTTTTCATAAATTTCGAAATTACTTTGCTTTTAGACATACATTTTGTTGCTATAAAATGACAAAGATAAAGTTTTTTCATTAATAAGTTACTATATATTAGTAACAATTTTTTTAAATAAACAAAGTTTAAATAAAAAAAAAAAAAAAAAAAAAAACTTGTTGCAGAGTCACCGAATGTCAATAGCCGCGTAGCAATCACCATAGCAGAGGAGCGTCTTGCACACACCCCTCATACCTTTGATGACGATATACACAGTGGTGCCAAAAACCGAAACTAAATGGCAAAGCCTTTGGTTGTCAATCCAATAACACTGTGTAGGCGCCTATGGCAATCTCAATGTTTCGGCGATGTTGCCAGACACTCCTCAGCACACGGTGACTAGCCACCGTCAACGGTTAACATCAGTGCAAATATATACTATTTTCCAATTTACTAATTTTTGATATTTTGTATTAAATATTAGTTAATAAAAAAATCATTTACGAAAAAATTTGAATTAAATATATCATTAAGGTGTTTTTTGTATATAAACAATCAAAGCAGCTTTTAAATCCAAAAAGTTACAAAAACCCTATTTTGGAATCCTTTTAAAAAAATAGATTATTTCATAATCAGCTTTGTAATAATAAACTTTTGAAAAGTAGCTTTTACCAACACTTTAACATTACAGATTATGAAATGAGTGATTAAATGAAAAGCTAGAGCAACCCCAAACTCACCCAGGTTTAGCTTAGGATTGATGTAGCTTAGTCTTTCCAAAGTTGACCCATAAGTGATTATAAGATAACTTTTAACAACGACAACACCATTGCTTTTATGTTTTCCATGGAGAACTAATTTTCCTGTGATTAGGGGTGATTTAATAGATAGAGAATTGAGTTAAGAGCTTATTTAATCCAACGGCAAAGTAAAGAGAAACCCAATTTATTGAACTTGTGATATTTTCTAAATGAGTAAACGATATATTCCCACCCAAGGTTTGACGAAATCCCAAGTTAGTACCATTGGTTCCATTTATTCCAGATTCCCACTCTTAAAATGACGAAAAAATGTTTGATGTAACAGTAAAAGGGTAAATTGGTCATTTTAC